CCCCGCTACGCCTTGACGGCACTGGCTTTTGTTGCGAGACAGAGGACGCAGATCATGTTGTTGACATGTCGTGTTTGAGTAATAGATTGCGCGAATCGCGAATGCAAAGCTAGAGAAGGGCTTTCAACAGTAACGCAGCTACTATAGTCGCCCGAAGGCATGGGATCCATGGGAGGGCAGGAGAAATTGTTGGGAAGCGGCAGTATGACTCTTACCCTACAGCCTACGTGCTCGTTTTCTGGCCTGGCGTGACGTCGACATGTGAATGCACGTCTTCGTTCGGCATCCCTTGGTTCCGATAAGGGTAAATGTCGAGTCTGGCACATGTTTGGCGCCGCAGATAGTTGTGGGTCAGGGATCACGGCGATACAGCTGCCCGTGGCGCGCGTGCGATAGGATGGGCGAGTGCGGTGCGGGCGTAGGGAGCTGCCGCATCGAGCAGCGTGGTGGTGTATAGGCAACCGAGTGCGAAGGTGCTGCGCTGAGCGCTGAGCGGCTGAACAAATGGCGTCTTGATTCGCCATACGGGGTTTCGGTGGTGGGCCTAGGGACTGTGTGGCCCTGCGGACCGTTTTCCAGAGGGGCTAACTCAATTTTTTTTGTTGCGCTGGGTACTCTCAGCGACCACGACGACGCCTGAGTCTGACAGCATTGCAGTGCAGCCAGCCAGCCCTGACCACCTTACCCCAACCCGGCTTCTGCCCTAGCCCTATCTATCGCATCCGCCCTCCCATACAGACCTGACCCGTCCGTCTTATATCTCGACGCCGCCCCCTCCCCTCGTCCCATCATGTCCGCTCCCCACGACACGCCCGCCCACAGCACCCACCCCATCAACACCACCACGTCCGCCGACCCCCCACTCAAGGGCGACGCAACCGCCGCGCACCCTCCCCCGCAGAAGCCCGACCCAACTCTCGAGTCCAACAGCCATGGCCCCTCCCAAGGCGGACAGTCCACCCCCCGTCCCTCCGCCGCCGCCGAACTCGCCCGTCTTAAAAGCACGCTGAAGGCCTCGCTCCGCCAGTTCAAAGACTTCCCCGAGCCCGGCATCCTCTTCGAAGACATCCTGCCCATCTTCGCCGACCCCGCGCTCCACGAGGGACTGCTGCGCGGTCTCGAGTTGTCCATTGAGAAGCAATTCGGTGCGACAGGCGCCAAGCCAGACGTCGTTGTCGGACTCGATGCGCGTGGCTTCCTGTTCGGGCCCAGCCTTGCGCTGAGGCTGGGCGCGAGTTTTGTGCCTGTCAGGAAGAGGGGCAAGCTGCCGGGTCCGTGTGAGACGGCGGAATACAAGAAGGAGTACGGCAGCGATTTCTTCCAGATGCAGGAGGGCGCTGTCAAGAGCGGGCAGAACGTGCTTATTGTCGATGATATCATTGCCACTGGTATGTCGATATATTTGCGTCAGAGACGAGATGAGATGCTAACGCGACACAGGTGGCTCCGCAGCCGCAGCTGGTTCTCTGGTGAAGAAGCTAGGCGGAACTATTATGGGATACCTCTTCATTCTCGAACTCGATTTCCTAAAGGGCCGCGACCAGCTCGACGCGCCTGTACACACATTGCTTTCGGGCCAGGAGGAGAAGATGGAACAGTAGATGTGTAATACTGAGGAGGCTGGTAATTTACAAGCTAAGAATCTCGACTCGATACCGTAAACAATACGCAATATAGATGGGGCATAGGATTGCATTTGGGCGGCGTTGGTGGTTTGTATAGTCACGACATGGCGCGATGAGAGATGCGCGCGAGGATATCACGATAAATACGTCAAAAGTTTCTTTACTTGTATACGCACTGTCAACGAGCATTCCCACACTATGTCATTGACACCAAACTAAGCCCTGCGCCCTGCGCCCTGCGCAACACGACAGCGGCGCCATAGCCTCTTTCCCCGTCGCGAAAGTCGCCGTCCCCAAAATTTCCGCCCTCATTACCCCTCCATTAACAAAAACATCCCTGCAAGCTGCTGACACGCAGCGCCCGCCCAAGAGGGAAAGTGGGGTAGCTTCCGATGCCGCTCCCAAGCCCCATCTTATGTCACGGGTATAGGGCGGACGCGCTCAATTAGGTGTCCACCTAGCCCGATGATAGCCTCGATTTACCTGACGTAGATAAACGGTCCCATGCTGCTGATACGCACGGCGGTACCAAGAGCTCTACGTGCTTCACGATCCCTTACTACTACAACCACGAATCTCACGCGACCTGCTATCACAACTTCACCCTACAAAGCAATCGACATCAAAGGAATACGAAAGATGTCTGATATCAAGAAGATTCACACCGCTAACGCATGTCCTCGTACGTTCCAATTGATAGCGGAGATGCGGAAGGAGAGATAGCTAACAGAGATACAGCTGCTGGACCCTACGTACGTCTCTCCTCTATCGATTCCAACGTATCCGAACAACCGCGTTAACGTCACCGTCTAGACACAAGCCATCGTCGCAGGCCCTAATGTCTTCGTCTCAGGCCAGATCCCCGCCGATACCAAGGGCAACTTGATCGAGGGCAGCATCGCAGACAAGACCAAGATGTGCTGCGAGAACATCAAGGGCATCCTCACTGAGGCTGGTGTTGCTATGGACAGGATCGTCAAGGTGCGTTTAGTCCATTCGGATACAATCCCGGAATCTATGGTGGAAACATAGTAGAACAAGGCTGACGACAAGTCTAGGTCAATGTCTTCCTCGACGACATGGCCAACTTCGCCGAGATGAACGGCATGTACGAGCAGTACTTCTCCCACAAGCCTGCGCGCAGCTGTGTTGCGGTCAAGCAGCTGCCCAAGGGTGTGCCGGTCGAGATTGAGTGCATTGCGTATACTGGTATGAGCTCAAAGCTTTGAGGCGTGGAGCTGATGTTGATCATGCATAGGTTGAACGACGATCCGTTGAAGCAAGGTTGCTTTGGAATACTGTGGACAAGTTAAGAAGACTATAAAGACAAATGTTCAATAAGAAGCACATAACTGCTAAGGTTATCTTAATCGCCGAGATGTCGTCCCTTTGCCATGCTCGAAATTACATGCCAGATGGCCTTCTCTTGTTGAACCGACACGAAGTTGGAAGGCTTGGGAAGGCTGATTGCTAGCGCCGCCACAAGACACCATGCTAATGTACTACGCTCAGCCTCACTGCACTGCCCCGCTTTGGCGTCGTTGTCACCACAACATGTATCCCTTCCTCGCCCAAAGGCAACAATCATTAAACATTCGATCTAAATTTCTCCGGCTTATTTCCCAGGATCCTATACTAACGGTAACATGCGCCTTTTGCGAGCCTCTGGCGACGACTTCGTACTCGTTGAGTTTGTTCGCTATATACCAACATACGCAATATTATCACATACCTGGGGCGCCGACGAGGATGAAGTCACATTCAAGGACATATACAAGGGCAAGGCTAAGGCCAAAAACAAGCCCGGCTACGCCAAGCTCCAATTCTGCGCCGCGCAGGCCGCTAAAGACAAGCTGGAATTCTTCTGGGTTGATACATGCTGCATCGACAAGAGCAGTAGCGCGGAATTGGCTGAAGCCATTAATTCGATGTTTAAGTGGTATCGAGATTCGACAGCATGCTACGTATACCTCTCCGATGTACCCAGCACAGGCACCCCGTATTTGCAGAGCAACAAGCAGCCATCTTTCAAGGGTAATCGATGGTTCACACGTGGATGGACGCTTCAGGAGCTTTTAGCACCAAGGACTGTTGTCTTCTTCAGTGTGGACGGCACAAGAATTGGAGACAGGTCTTCCCTTGCAAAACAAATTGCACGTGAGACGAGCATCCCTGTAGCCGCATTGGAGAACGGTCCAGACTTTATGCTCAAGTATCCTGTTGAAGAGCGCATGAACTGGGCAAGATATCGTCACACGAAACGCGAGGAAGATGCCGCCTACTGCCTTCTTGGCATTTTCGAAGTTCAGATGCCGCTCATATACGGCGAAGGCAAAGAGAAAGCTTTTGGTCGCCTGCAAAAGGAGATCGAAGATGTGTATGGCAGGCGTGACTGGGTTGACAACCTCTTGCATCGGTACGAGCTCCCATTGTTGCAGGTAAGCATATGTACCCAAATTTATTATCCGGCGTGAGATCTAACCTTACTCCTAGATCCCTTGGGCTTCTATAGGCCACGATGTTGCTGGAGCTGTGAAGATTTTTATCATTCTCTGTACAATCGTCATCCTTGCCTTCGCGATCGTGTACGACCTTCCACTGACGATGTGGTTTCTGGGATGGGCTGTGGGTGCGACACCATTCTATCTCTATCGCTGCACCCGGTGGAACAGGCCAGAACAAATCCTTATTTTCTCTCTCATAGCAGTCGTCTGCTACGTGTTTGGAAAGCTTATCTGTCTACAGAGAGAACTGCAGAGACTGAACGACGTCGTACTTGATAACGCAATGATGCAAGGCATAGACCAGCAAAGCATACATGTGCGAGAGATCATGCGGCACATCCGGAAAGAAGTAACATAGATAGGTACAAGCTGCGCTTTGCTCGCGCATTGGGAATGAATTATGCTCACCTGGGCAACAAGTCTGCAGCATGTACAAGGTCGCTCACATACGGAAATTACCACTTACAGATATCGGTAGCCGATTCAAGGACATTAGAAGACCGCACACATTACCATCAGAAAACCAGTTTCTACCACATTCCTGCTGCCGAGGTGATCAATTCGTTCTGCATCAGCACTTCTGGGCGACAAGCCTCACGTTATCAACCGTCTGTCCAAGATTGACTAGAACCCGTTTACAATTGGTCTCAAGACCGAGCGGGAAGGCGTGCAAAGTGCCCAAGTCTCTTGGGGTCGGGGAGAACGTCTGGGATAAATTTCCGGGTAAAGCTACGTGACGAACATTGCCGCTTCGGGAAACATGACACAACGAGCACTATGGGATAACACAGAACTCTCATAAGATGCTGTTGTGCCTCGAGAACATTTGGGAGGCTTTCATACTCACATCCAGCGAGGTGTCATTGCAGTCATGCGCTGCCTAACCCTAGCGATTATTGTCCTGCAACTCGCACTCCAGCATGCATCAGCGACAGTAGGCGTCCTTGACATCGACGACCTGCTACGATCAGATCTCCAACAGCACCTATCCACTCCAAGCGAAGATCATCCGTATGCGCCATGGTCTCACAAACCGTACTGCATGACTAGCAGCTATCTCCCCACCCTCGGCCAAAAGTACTGCGTCTACACATCCAACACGACGGGCCCACACGGCCTCTCCCTGATCTTTCCCCCAAAATCCGCCCATCTAGCGTCGGAATATCTCGACGACAACCCGCTGGACAATTTCCTCACACAAAAGGATGCTGAGCGCCTCTACTTCGGCGGCCAACCATGGAAAATCGTCGACATACCCGGGAAAGCGAAAGGAGTAGTGGCCACTCGCAAGATCAAAATGTACGAGACGTTCATGGTGGATCAGGCCGCTGTTGTTGTATATATGGGGGCGGAGAAGGCGTTGAGCGAGGCCGAGAACAAGAAGCTTATGAAGAGGGCTGTAGATCAGTTGCTTGTTCCTGCGATGATTAGGGATATGAGTTCTGCGCATGCGGGGAAGAGCCATGAGCGTAAAGATGATGGAGATGACGAAGAGGACGGAAGCTTAGAGGAAGCCATCATGAAGACGAACGCGTATGGCAGTACGGTTGCGGAGGTTAGCTCGAGGGCGTTGTATCCGCTGATCTCGGTAGGTCGCGACGCAGTCTAAACAGCGACACGAGCATCACTGACCGTACCAGCGCATCAATCATGCATGCAATCCAAACTCCTTCGTCCTCTTCTCCCGCGCAGGCGTCTCAATGGCCATAAAAGCCTATCGCGACATTGAAGCCGGCGAAGAGATCACCGTCTCTTGTAATCTCCACCCTCTTCCTTCCTGTTCTTGTGCTAACGCCACCTAGACCTCCTCTTGGGTATCCCATTTCAAAAACGCCAATCTCTGATAAAGCGCTGGGGTTTCAAATGTACATGCAGCCTGTGTAGCCTCCCCACTGACGAACGCCAAGCCTCTGATCTTCGCCGCACAATGATCGCACAGGCCGAGGACAAGATTATGGAGCTGGCGAAGGCCTATAAACTTGATGAGGCTATAGCTCTCGCAGAGGAGTCCGCAGAGCTGATCAGAGAAGAAGGGGTCTGGTCGATGTTAACCGATGAGTATGCTATGTTGGCTATGCTGTGGTTGGAGAAGGGTGATAGGGAAAAGGCGGAAGCGTATGGCGAGAAGACGCATAGGTTGTTGTCTGATCTGGGGTTTTTAGGTATTGGGGAAGATAGGGAAGCTTGGAAATTGCAGACGCTGTTAAAGAATATTGGGGGGTTAGGGGGGATGGGTCAGCTCTGGAAGACAGGCCCTTTGAGAGGGTAAGTTGGACGGGAAACGGAATAGAATGGTTGTTTGGAATCTAGCTGTTAGGTAAAGTGATAAGAGGGAGTGTTCCTGATGTCTGGACCTGAGAAAACTAAACACTTCCGTGCTTCCTTCTGTAGTGACCTGTCGTGCCGATCGGTCCTGCTCCACCCTTCTCGACCCAGCTATCTACGCCACCCAGTCTTCCTTGCGTAGGTGGCGCTGGATTCTCGCCGCGTTCAACCATGGGATGATGGAGACCTACCTTCTGCGACAAAGCGACATGTATCTCATCTGGCGATTTGTTTGACCATGCTCTCGTGCTCAGATACGAAAGGGGATACAGCGGCATGTTTTCTTCACGACCCATGAAGTCATTGACGAGAGGTGCAACGCGCGACATGATAATGTCGAGGTCTTGGCGGATTTGCTGGCAGAAGGCATCGAGTGGTAGGTCATTGACGTCGTGTCCGAAAGGGTCTTCGATCTCACGGCCGATGAAAGCGATACCCAGGATAATGTACGCTGCGACAACACATGCAGGGATGGTGATCCAACCTAAGCTGTTGTAGCATTGGAACGGTAGCAACAGGATATACAGCCATGTGACCTGGGATATGGCGATGGAGTACGCAAGTGGAAGCGGTGTGTTCAGGATTCTCTCCGTGCCACACGACACCTCGTCCATGATTGTCAGCGAATCCAAAGTCTGGGTTTGATAGATGCTGTAGTCTCTCAACGTGCCGTTGTCGTATAGAACTTTCATGTACGCAGAGAGGTGAGATAAAATCTCAAGGGGTAGGTCACCGAGAGGCACGCGCGATTGCTTGACGTGTTTGCGTGGGTTGGGCGTCGCCATAGGCATGCCGAGCAACTGACAAGTCCGCCTGAAAGCGCTCGGAGGGTCGGGCGCAGGCATATCCGCTGCTTGCGCAAAGGTATCCAAATGACCGACCAGGTGCTTCAGATCCTCGTAATGCGTTCCTGGCTCGAACCGCAATTTATGTTTCACTGCGACAGCGAAAGCCACAATCAGGTTCAGGCAGCTGACCTTGCCGAGCAGATCTTGCTTCCCCAACCCTGCATCAGCAGCATGCCTCTCTTCAGCGTGTATCCATATCAGACGAGCCAAGATGTGCGATGCGAGTCGGAGGCGCCCCCAAAGCTGTCGACCTTGGAAGTAGCGGTCCATCGAGGTAGAACTGCGGACGCTGAGGGCCAGACTGACGACAAAACCTAGTACGGTGATGAAGACTTGGTCGGTTCCAACTGCGTCATGTTAGAGTAGGGCTTTGTGGTACAGGAGAAAGAAGATTTGGCTTACGGTCATATACAAGCTTCGAGATGCAAGTAACGGCGGTGGCCCACCCGCCTACCAGCAAAACGGGTATGACAAGCTTAGGTGTGATGCTGCCGTGAAGTCGCAGCATCATCGGGAACTTCGAGTGATGGCTGAGGTCTCGCGGCCCCATCTACCCTCCTTAGTAAGCTGCGCGTCCATGTACTGCTTGATCCTCTGCAGGTGACATACGAAGTATCCATCGCCAGACGATCTCGGCATGTTTCTTCACTCGTGTGGATAGGAGAGATATGAATCGTGGCGATGCGTGATTAGACGAGTGTCGAGGAAACTTAGGTGAGATAGGATAGGATCTGTGTGGGAGTGTAGCGACATGGCTGTGCGATCGTTTCGACGACGTTGTGGCGGTCATCTGTAGGAGTAGCAGGTGCAATGTGTGGCGCAAAGCTACTTGCCCTTTCCCTCTGTTACATGAAGGTAGTGCCTACCTGCAGATGAAGTAAGTTCGGTGGCATGGGCGTCTGCAAGAAACATTCGTCGCTCGCACAGAAGCAGACGCGTCATGTCATAGGTGTTGATGCGGCCGGCAATGTATGTATGAGTCTGTCCTGGTTGCGGACCTTCATCTTCTCAGTGTCGATTTGCAGACGTCGTACAATAGCGGCATCATACCCGCGACTGCTGCTAGCATGACATACGCGCAGCGAGACAGCGAGGAAGTTGTGAGAGGCGTCGCTGGTGTGATGAGGCATCACGCGTTGCGCTTGCGGCTCCACTTAATGACGTCACGCGCTCCGAAGCTCGCGTCAAACTTCACGCCGACGAACCTCAACTACGCAGATGCTACTCACTACGCGCACCACATCTTCACGATACTCTTACTTCCAACGGACTCTCAGCAAGCGAATTCGCAACTGCGATTGATGCTCATGATCCGTAACGAGCCGGCGCTGCACAGTCTCGTTATGTACAGCCAGACACATCGGCCGTCAGCCCCAAAGTTGTATTGCGTCACTGATACTAGGCATAGGACCTAGCCAAAGCGCCCAAGTATGCAGGGACAAAGAATCCAAAAGTATCAAGCCCTCTTTACCACCCGCTCCAGGGGAGAACGCTGTGCACCAAACCTGGTTGCGACGAGCGGAAAACTGAGCTTACAAAGGGAAAACCACACATACCATGAGAGAAGCAAAGCAAATATTACCGCAGTGAGCATACCGTACGCCTTTCCTCACCTGAGGGAATGCGAAATCTCGAACCGAATCAACACCGCGCCTCAAAGGTCACTGCGTCTAGGTCCTCCGGGCGCGGCTTTTCTGCGGCTCTTCTACATCGGACGCGTCCTCGGAACTGTAGCGAGTACGCTTGCGACTAGTTGCCGGCGTAGGCGCCACTACGATGGTCAGTGAAGTTCATGGTGCCTGATAATAGACCTACAAATCTGCTTTTTCTTCCCGGGCTTCTTGACGAGCCGATCTTCGCGCTTTCGGCCAGCAGTAAGGTCTTTCTGACGCTCGTCGTTCTGTTGGCGGTTGCTCGAGCTGATCTGGAGAAGAGTATCCGGGCATAACACATACTCCTCGACACATCCTCCACGCAACAGCTTGTCGACACGGCTCTTGTAGGACTTCAACACTACGACAAGTTTCGAGATACGCTCCTCGAACGTGAGCTTCCGTGATTTCTCGCAGCGATCGATCATGACAGGATCCAGGATCGAAACGAACCCTGCGCCTTCTCGATAGATGCGTTCAGTTGTTTCCTTGTTCATGTTAGCGCCGGTAATTGCATATGCTATAGCGAAACTGACCAAGATATCCCAGCAGAGACGCTCTTTCACCCAAGGTTTGTACACTGTATTGGTAGCGATCTTCTGTGTGCGTTTTGTCTCCCCAGCGTTTCCAACCCCGTCTTTGCTCGATTCTCCTGCACTCTCTGCCAGCCAGCGCTTCTTGAGCATGGGGCTCGACATCTTGTCCTGGATGTCGCTGGTGTCTTGGATAGCTGTGAAGAGCTTACGAACAACTGCTATCCGCTCTTCCTTGGTGTTTGGGAGAGTCTCGTCCTCACGAGGTGGCCAGTCCAGTCCCCGAGCTTTCTTGCGGGCTTCGGTGACTTCGGTGAAGTACAGGCCGAACGAGTTCAGTGGCAGTGCTTGTCGCTTGGTCTTCTTCGCATTTACGTCGGTCTTCATCTTTGTCTTGTGAAGCGAATCACGGCGCTTAGTTCCGTTCACCGCAGCGGGAGGTTTCTCTTCCTCTTCCTCTTCGATTTCCACAATCCTACTCTTGGTCTTCGTCTCTGCTTTTCTGGACTGAACTGGACTGTGGACCACGGGCGCCTCTTCGGACTGTCGACTCGCCCTACTTCGCGGAACATACTCTTTCCAACGGCGATTGTTGTTGTCGCAGTGACCAGCAGAGACTGCGTCTTCGAGCTGCGATTGGCGGAGTGTTGAGGCCATCAAGACTGCACCTTCGGGCGAAGCGTGAAAGGATCGTGGAAGCCCTGTAAGAGGAGCAGTATCATGGGAATTCTTGAAAGAAGACACTTGGTCGTTGTCGTCGTACGGCCAGGTCTCGCTGCCCCAATGAGCTGGGTATGGTTGACGACGAAACGGTCCGTGCGTTGTCGCGATAGTGCCAGTCTGATCAAGCCACATCGGAGGCGGGCAGATAATGCCTTCTGATGAACCTGGGAAATACTGAGGCCTCTGATGCTGCTGGACTAGAGCGACCTGCGACGCTTCCCACTCATGGGCATGGTGGTCTGGAAGCATCATCCACGCATCGCCTTGATCGTAGGGGTGATATGTACTTGAAGATTGACTGAATGGGGCAACATCTGTCTGCGAGGATGTTTTCACGGAGGAAGAAGCGGTTGAAGGAAGCATTTCGACAGCGGTGGTGAATTGGGTCGCTGATATCAAAATCGGACTTGCTCACGATGTGGGAACAACGGAATTAATCGGAAAGTGTGTATATAGAGGTAGTTGCGTTGTCTTATTTGCGACTGCCCGCTGACTAGTACAGGTCGGGTTGGCGCTCTGACCAGTGTG